TTCGCCGATCTCTACCGGTTTGGCCCAAATTTGACGGGACTACGCATTCTCGTTGCTAGATTCCATTCACCTTCTCATCACTGGTTAATGTGATTTTCTAGTTCGTGCTTAACACTACACGCGAATAGTCAATAGTAGGCACAGTGATGTGTTACTACGGAAACACGTGCACACAATGTCAGTGATAAATGGGAATATAAAAATTCTAAAGAACGATGTCTTCCCTTTCCCTCTTCCTTCGTGACGTTCTTCACTGATTCGGTACGTTTTTGCAGTGAATGATCAAAGAGTAGACTGTTCCTCATCCAGCTTTGTCCAAGGAACTGGTGTGATGCTGGGGACGGGGTGGGATGCGGTGCTAATCGGTCGTGACGGGATCGAATTTTACGATTTTCGAGTCGCTGTCACTCGTCATTTCATTATTTTCGTTCACACGACCGTTAATTACACGAACCTGTATACTTCTCTATGATGGAATGATTGAATCCACACTGGATTAGTTCGATCATCAAGCGGCTACTTGTTGGAGACAAAAAATATGAGTTGTACCGATTTTATTCACGTAGAGTACGAACTGGGCGAAGCTAGGCAGTTGAAAAGGATGTTTGCCAAATAATGCAACGTGTCTGTGAATATTGCAGATGATATGAAAACACCTGTATAACGGATAGACCAATTGTTCGAAAGTAGACTTTGTTAGTTGTTTGAGAGCAGTGAAGATGACACGTGTAGTTGTAGGGATACCAGCAAACCCGTGAACCGGAGTCTGGTGCGACCGAAGCGATTTCGATTTATGAACCGATCTATGAACGCTGGATGCTTGTGACATCCGCCTGTTATTGAGACAGTTTAGCTATTGCTACGTTCACGTTCCTCCATGATATTCTATTGATGCTCCAAATACAATCAATCTCCTGCTCTGGGAAGATATTAGAAAATGCGACTCCTCAGGGGTGCAAAATAGCAGGAGATTGGCTGTACGTGGTTAAATTTTTGATGACCGACACTAGCTGGGATGCATTTATGCCGTTGTATGTCTTCGCAAGATCATTCGATAAATCGATAACCCTGTTCCGATCAGCACGCTATCTTGTGTGTTCCGATATTTCGGGGTTGGGTTGGCGGTCGCTAACAATAGTGTGTGTGTGTGTGTGTGTGTGTGTGTGTGTGTGTGTGTGTGTGTGNGCTTCCCGATTTAAATTCGGCCTTAAGAATATTGGCGACTGCATTGGCCTTCAACTTTGTGGTACTCAGCCACGGAAAAACTATCTCGTTCCACACGGAATTTCTGGAAACGGACATTCATAAACTACCGTGAGTTGAAAACTGTGCTCCATCCACAAGCTGTGCATACAGAATAAAACAAAATAAAACTCTTTCGCCTATTGCTTGGTTAGTTGAGATATATATAAATCCGTTATCATATAATGTTATATATATTACACATTGGTGAGGATAACACTTTGTATAAAGTATCCAATATATTCAGTGAACTTAGGGGTTCTCGACCCAGTGGATACACTTCAAGATACTGTTTTTTCTAAACCGCACCGAAACGCTGAAGAACATTCTAACGATTCATTGCAAGAATACATCATGTCTTCACAGAGTGTCGACGTAATCAATTACCGATCAGCGAATTGAAGAATAAATGGCAATACAGAGCCTAATCGTTGGAATACGTAGTGAGAAGTTTCTATCAGACGAAGAATCTGAAATCACCTAGAAAAGGATATATACCATCACTCGAAATCAAGTGAATATCACCCACCAATTAACCCAGTTTCCCCAGAATTCAAACCCATGACAATAAGCAAGCATTAACGCAGAAGATCATTTCGCCTACAAAGTGTTCAACCAAGGAGATTGTATGTTACCGCTGAGGAAATAGGCATGTATCAACAGATGAATGTTGCCACAAGCAAACAATTTGTCTCGACAGTGGGAAGGTTTGGCATCTGGTACCTGTTTGCAGAACAGCACCACGGGACTATCCAAACATAAAGTCATTTAGGAAACTTTGTACTCTGGTCCAAGAGAGAGAATAAGCCAGAACACTGAAAAAGAATGCTTGTTTGATGCAGTGTCATGTGGTATCATGAGGTTACTTATGTACATCGCCTTACTACAAGTCGAAATCGAAGGAGCACCCGTTCAAATGGAAATTGATACTGGAGCATTCGTGTCATTAGTCAGCACTAAGACTGTTGAGAATTTACCACGTTTGACTAGTTGCCAGTCCACGTTGAGAATTTACACAAGACAAATAATCCCGATTTTGGGTAAATGTGACATGCATGTGCAGTTACGTGGCGAGAAACGTATGCTCCCAGTCTATGTTGCAGCTGACCTATGCTCCAACTTGTTTGGGTGTGGCTGGATAAGAGCATTCCAAAACGCATTGGATCCAGTGAAGCAGGTAGTCTCTCAATCAACCTTTGAAACAATACTATCTAAACACGCTAGTGTATTTGATGGCAGCTTGGGAGAAATGAAAGGGTTCCAAGTAAATATCACACTGCACAATTGCTTTTCAACAGATCACGCCCCTTGTCATGCGCACTCAGATCCAAGGTGGAGGAAGAACTGAAGAGATTACAGAAGGGAGGATTAACTACACCAGTCCAGTACTGTGAATGGGGAACACCGATAGTCCCCGTGAGCAAACCAGATGGTTCCGTTCGAATTTGCCATGATTACAAGCTTAATATGAAACCTTTTGCCGCCCTATACAGATATTCATAAACATGTGTGGAGGATATATATGTAACATTAACGGGTGGTCAGACATTTACCAAAATTGATTTGAGATATGCATATTCCCAAATCGAACTGAATGAGTCTTCTCGTGTCCCGACAACAATCACAAAACACATTGATCCCTTTGAGTACACTCGTTTTACACTTCGGAATGAATGCCCCACAGCAGTTTTTCAAAGAGGCATTGAGAACCTGGTCAAAGAAATTCCTTTTACCTGTGCATATCTGGAGGATACACCGGGGAAATCTCAAATACCCCGTTCCCGAGGGTTTACACAAACACGATCTGAAGCTGAACCGATCCGAATGTGAGATTCTATGTGATTCTGTTTATCTTGATCACCGTCTTGATAAAAATGGATTGAATATCATAAAGGGTAAAGCCAAACCGATATACGAAGCTTCAGAACCTCGAAACTTAATACAGCTTCGTTCTTTTTTTAGCATGCTCTCCCATAGCTGTTGTTTCCTTCTCAATATTTCCCGAACGCTCGAACCATTGGACGCCTTACTACATGAATATAAGCCATGGGTCTGGGGCCACTCAAAGAAAATGGCTGTCACTGCTGCCATACTCTTCCTGCAATCATCGTCATTTTTGGCACATTTTGACCCAAACAAACTTATTTTGGTGCGGTGTGATAAGTCCCCATCTGGCGTTGGTGCCCGTGTTATGCCATCGCATAGAAGACGATTGGATAAAACCCGTAGCTTTTGCATCAAGAACACTACAAACTGCGCAAAAGAATTGCTCTCAGCTGAATAGAGAAGCCTTGGCTGTGATCTTTCTCTACCGTGAAAGGTCTCCTTCCATTCATACATATGGGGCCGCCGGTTCAGGATACACAGATCATAAACTTCTGCCAGCCAAACTGGGCGAATCGAAGGAAATCCAACAGTTTTACTCTCAAGGATTGCATAGATGGGTATATCTTCTAAGTATTAAAAGTTTGTATTTGCATATGTATTACTTTTGCAAGCTGAGATATGCTTACATTTCAGTTAAAAATTGTACACTGGTGGTCACACCGGAGGATTAAGAAGTATAAACAAATCCAATGGAGTGCTGTGTAAAACAATGTCCCCGAAGTTTGATTCATTTTTAACTACATATTGACGTAATTCATTTATAACTCGTCCCTTGTTAGTCAAGATTCGAGCCAGATATAGTGCAGCGGACTTTTCATAAATGTTTATTCGAGAGGCTAGATACCGATAAGAGGATCCAGTGGGAGTTACAAGAAGATAAGTCAAGATGCAAAGGATGGGAGGGGTCGTTTAGGATCTCATTGGCAAAGGTCATGCAATACTTCATATGACCATAATAAGTTCTGTGAATAACGACTGGCAAAAATTAAAGATGCACAGCTTAGTATCATCAATCCACAACGCACAAGTTTAAAGTCTTGTTTCAATAGATCGGGAAACACTACAGGGGGAACGCCTTGTTTAACAAAGGAGAACAAAACTTGTTGAGGAGTGCGAAGTTGTCTGAACTTCAGAAGCTAAAAGGAGAAGCGCTGAAGTTTTACTATACTGTTCTGAATGTGTGTTGACCACCGAAGATTATCATCGATAGTAACACCCAGATATTTGGCTGAGATCACTCTAGACAAAAGGTTGCCATTAAGGGTTACAGAGTCTGACGGGAATGTAGAGCGGGAGGAACTAAAAATGCACTCCAAGCACTTGAATGTGTTGAGATTAAGGCCAGACTGTTCGATTCGGGACAGCTATTCAGTGAAGGAAGAAACGGTCTGACATAAAGCGACATCGTGAACATACTATTGGATATGAGCAGGCTGTGGAACTGAAAGGTCACTAATGAAAGCAGAGGAAAGATACGGAGAGAGGATAGCACCTTGAAGCACGCCAGAATTATTGACTAGAGGACTTGAGGTATTCCTGTCCAGCTTGTGCACTGGATTCTTTCGGTGAAATAATCGGAAAGCCACGAAAGCAGCTGTCTCGGAGTGCCAAACGATTCAAACTTAAAAATAAGGGATGACCAAGAAACAGAATCAAAAGCAGATGAATAATCGAGAAATACACAGCGAACAGATTTTGCAGAGCTGTTCAATGACTTGCTTATAAAATGGACCAGAGTAGACACAGCATCCAAAGTGGATCTGTTGAGTTTATACGCGAACTGAAGAAGATCATGGGGAATGGTGACAAGTGACTGTGGGNGACTCAGGATGGCTTTCTCAGTCAACTTTACAACCACAGACGTCAAAGCGATGGTAAGAAATCGTTTTACAAGAACGGTTGAGGATGAGAACTTTGGAACAGGTATTATGGTCTCTCGTCGCCAGGAATCGGAGATCATCTGTGCAGAAAGAGACTCGTTGATGAAGGATGTCGTCATACTACACCTTTCCTATCAAGCTTTAGCCAAAACCCGTAATCCTTTAGCCAAAACCAGAAATGCTCTAGCCCAAACCAACTATCCTTTAGCCTTGACCTACATTCCTTTAGCCAAAACCAGCAATGCTTTGGCCAAAACCCGTAGTCCTTTAGTCTCAACGCACAAACTTTAGTCAAGCTGTAGTAGACCAGTCAGATCAAAATGTTTCGGAATATTCTGAAGTCAAAGAATGTTGAGAAAAATTATTTTCTGTAAATGTTTATGCTGCAAAGCTTGGTTAAGAAATAAAAGGGTGTGGGGGTTGCATGCTACAGCACATGTTGATTGGAGAAACCTTAACCGATCTGTCCGTATCGTCAAACCACTTGATACATCTCGTACAGCAGCTTCAGTGTTTCTGTATAACACGCGATACTCCTAGGAGTAAAAATATCCAATGTAACTCAAACGATACATTGTTTTGCATTAACAAGTGAACTCTGTTCATCAGAAGGGGATACAAAAACCTGCTGAGAATAACAAACCGTTCGTAAAAGTACACCTTTATAAATATCATCAGTTTATAAACGATGCAATGTAAGTTATAATTACCACGGTTGAGGCTTGATTATTACCGGTTTTTGTCTATTGCTTCTTGGGAAACGGTGTGCTAAAGGGGTCTTTCGTGAGCCGTGTTTATTATCCTCGACCTCTCAATGTATTCATATATCAAAAACAGAGTTACCTTTAGGTGGATATACGAAACGGTAGGCATATAGCTTTTGCTTTATTTCAGGGCTTGTGTGTTTTGGATAAAGCTTGATGGGAAAAGATGTAGTTAGAGGGGCTGCTCCAAACTTGAGAAATGCTGGAGAAAGATCATCAGGGCCCGCAGACGACGATGATTTGAAGGAACGTAGAAGCTTAAGAATTTCATCATTAGAAAAAGGGAACAGAACAGAATAGGAAGCCTCACATGGGAAATGCAGCATTAAGGCTATTTACATCAACACCACTGGTCACTTTTTTCTTTTTTTGTCCGCAGAGAAAACGAATTCCTTGCCACAGAAACCTTATGTTTTTCGTTTGCAGGATTTGGGAGGCGAACGTCTTGTTTAAGCGTGTAATCTCAGCTTTAATTAAGTTAGAACAGTATGTTACAGCAGATGGATGGTGAGATTTATAGGGTCGTTCCTTTTGCCTTCGAAGTGAGTTCAGCAGAGGAGATGCAATTTTCCCGTTGCAAACAAACTGCGTTTCCATGGGACAGCAAAAATGGAAAATCGATTTCATGGTTTCAGTGAAAAAACTGACACAGTTAAGAAGTGATGAACAAGAAGCAAACGAAGATTGGGCAACCGTTATGGGACGACAGAGAAGAGTAAATCGGGTCGATGAAAAGTTACTGAGATGAAACCTTATCTGGTTTGATCATATGAATATTGGAATTGCAGAGCGAGAGTATATCTTTGGTCTTAAGGGGAGAACACAATGATCAATGGTAGAGACTGGGGCCATTAGTTTGAGAGAAAACAATGTGGGATGGTTTGTGATTACCCGGTCAAGTATAGAGCTGCCTCTGGCAGGAAAATGAGACAAATCAGACAAGTGAAATGAAAGCAGATGAAAAAAATGCTTGCATGGTTGAAGTCACCAACAGCCAAATGAAGATTCTCATCTAGTGATCAAAGAAAGAAGCATGAAGGAGGTATACACATTTTAGTAATAATTGTACTTCTATATCGGGAGAATCTGGGATGAGAGCGAATGGATAATCAGTCAATGGATTTTTCAGAATAGCTGAAAATCAATTTAGACTGGCCACACCGCCTCCAGTTTCCTTCTTGCTATGTTGTCTATCCTGCCGGTAACAGTCGAAGCCATCTATCTGCACGAGAGCACCCTCAGCGTTTTGATTTAACCAGGGTTATTGTACGCATAGGACACATGTGCTAGAATGGATGCGTGTGTTCAGCGAGGAAGTTAAATCGGAGATCTCTGCGGAGAGCGAACTTTGGCTCCGAACAATGATGACACGGTCATTTTGGCAAGAGGGGATGCTATTATGTGCACATTGCCATCCAGCACGCTTGCGTTTTTTAATCAAAACATGATTGCCGGATTCTCCAAGCATACTGTTTGTATGAAGCACAGAACTAACAGATTTTAATCTAAGCTTATCTTGACGAGAGTAGGTATGGGTCCGAAACATGTTTGACATCGATATAATCATAAAATCCAGTGAGCACACAAAACTTAGCGCAGCCGATCGAAGGACGCACATCCCCCTTCCTGAAAATTTTATTATTGTGTATTGAATAAAAGAAAGTAAAAATGAAAAAAAATATGTAAAAGAAACTTAGGTCTATTTGAATCTAACTATTTAGCTTTGATGGTTGGTTTTGATGGATCATACAATTGTCTCTTAACTCCAACAGTTGTTTCGGTAAGTGAAAATCCGTTCTCCTTTTTTGCGGTATCACGGTAGTGCTATTTCAATTATCCGCCTCTGCAAAATTAGGGCTCTGACAGTGAAGTAATCCGTTCCTCCACTAGTTCGCTCATCCAATATTCATCACAACCGATGAGAATCGTTGTTCTTAAAGCACCGGATTATTGTATTTCTTTTGTTTTGGCGGTGGTGGTCAAATGGTGGTTAGATTACCAAATTGTGAAGTCCAGGGTTCGAACCGGTCCACTGACTCCCGTCTTCTCTATTTCTGTATTTACCCAGGCAGCCTTTGTATGTCAGCATCCCCCTTCCCGAAAGTTGACTGTGTATTTGCATATTCAATAAATAAAAAAGGAATTAAAAGACGTTTATTTATTTATATATTTCTTAGCATAGCATTGAATTTTCTTGATGGCGTTCACTTTGGAACACTGACTCCTTACAAAGTTGTCAAATTAGCATGGGGAATGTGTTTTAGGAGACCGTAGGTGAATTAAGATGCCCTGTTCCGAGTTTGTTATTTTTTAAATGTGGAAAGAGGAAAATCCACTCAGTTTAGGTACTCCTCTCTCTCTTCATACAGTCCAGTTACCGTTGTATGAATGTTGAAATTTGCACTCGGACCGGTAACTCGTGTGTGGATTCAACTCCGTGCTGTACTGGTTCATCTCAGTACTAGAATTCGAGATGAAATCACAATGTAGCGTTCAACAACGAAATCGTATTGTAATAAGCGGAAAATGGGAACGTACGAGTATATCGTGTTCAATAAAACAAATTCTATGTAGAACTGTAACGATTGGCAACCGCGCCAGTAATATTTTATCGTGAGTGTTTGTATGTCAGTCGACCCTTTATGGTTCATGGCGCTTTGTTTAACTTCAGGGACATCCTATCGCGCATATCTGTTCACTCTGCTGCACTGCAAGAGCCCGGAGTACGTTCGCATTACACAATCACCACATCCACCGTAGCCTGAATGATGCTCTAGTTTTTTCTAAGAAGAGTAATCATTGATGCGCAACTGTTCGGATCTTCTCGTTTCGGTCCTACTATTTTCAGCACTTGTACGGGCATACAGTTCATCTGAAATAGACTCAGAAATAACAGGATTAGTAGGTTTACAATTAGCATCAGTATTGGGGAAATCACAAATTATTTGCTCCATATATCTATAGTGTACAATACTATCGTCTAAATACAATATTTAACATAATCTATATCGGATTTGGTCTACTACGATGCTTCTAGAGAGTAGTTATTCATTACCACAATTATATATGACTTCCAAAGGCTTCAGGTGTAGAAGATTCGTTCCAAGTAATTGACTCTTAAACAGTTTTGCTGGGCTATACCCCGTAGTTGAATCTATTGCGTTACCATATTGCATCAGAAAGTTATCGATACCCCTGTCCAGTTCAGCGAATTTACTGGAGCTCACAGAAGTAATGGCACTCTGCGATGTGTGCACAAAGATTTGTGGAGTTAGGACATGACGACAACTCACGGAGTTCAACCAATCGGTAACATTCTTAGCACTAAAACAACTTCCAGTATCAGTCACGATTGCTTGAGGAGCACCACCTCTACTGAACGTTTTGATGAGAGCTCGAATGGTAAATACCGCACTGGGTGATGCATTAAAGTCGACTTCTAATCAACGGGAATAGGAATCGACAATCAGTAATACGTAATACTGGTTGAACAACAAAACCACATCATTCCCATGTATTCGTTGTTATGACTTGGAAGATACCATGGAATCCATTCCGAAGGATGTGTTTGAGCGTTGTTTACACAATCAGCAAAGTATTGAGTAACCGGATTCAGTCATGATTTGGCTCAGGCCACTAACATTTGAGAAAAACCAGAGACTTCAACTTTTCAATGCCAAAACGACTGGAATGTAAGTCATTCAGAATAGAATAACGTAATCTAGGAAGCACAATATTGCAATCATTGCAACACAAGACACCATTGCATTTCACACAAACTTTCCTACGACGTTTATGGAATTCCGGAAATTGTCAAACTCAAAGGACAGGATTCTCACGATGTCTTGAACTACCCGGCGATTCAATTCAATAAGTGGTGAATCCTATACGCTGTAGGCAACTGTGCATTCATACATTAGGACTAAAAATGATTTCATTACACAAAAAACGGAATTGTAAATTGGTATGTGGACATCCCATTATTTTTCCGCCCAATCAGAGGATTTCCTGACTAATCAGGATAACTGCAATTCACATACGATCCCGTGTGGATCGATGTACACTCCGCGGAACGTCTCTCCGGCTTCGAGCGTAAGCTTGCGGCTGCGTACAAGGTTGCGGTCATTCAGACACTACCATCAAGCAGTGCACGTATCTGTCAACGATCCAATAGATTTTCGCAGAGTTCTGTACAGCTTAATTTCAGCTATTCCTGCGCAAACAAAAGAATACTGTAGATTTCCCCTTAATAATGGTGATGATAAACGCGAGAGTACAGGGTGAAATAACCGCTGTTTTCAGAGGTCATTTTTCTCCCATAATTGGCCAAACCGTGTAAATGATCAGATTATATACATATTATTGTATTTATATTTGCGACAATGGGTAAATATCTTTAGACAGCTTTTTCAGAACCTGGGTAGAAGTAAACGAATAAAGCGACAAACGATTACCCGTTACGCATACCTGACGTGCAGAAATAACCGCAAAACCGGTCGTGTGCTTCCAGTCATTTGCATACTACTG